AAGAGCATAAAATATTGTATAGCATCTGCAGGGGTGAGAAGTGGAATTGGAGATGCAAGAAGCCCCTTCCAGGCCTTGCTCTGTAGCTCGGGAAGGCTCTTCAGAGGACGTAAATGTGAGCAGATGTCTCGGAGCTGGTGAAAGTGAGCTTGTGGAGGTTTAAAGATGAGCCCGTGAGCCTCTAGGTTATAGTGAAGGTGGCCGTGAGCGTAAGGTGCGGGTAGGTGACGGCTGCCCGAGAAGAAAAGTGCGTGGGATTTAACCTGTAAGCCAGTCATCGGCTCAGAGGAAGAGCTAAGGAAGAGGAAACGGGCGGCTGTGTCACCCAGCTTTTAGTTCTGCAGAGTAATCGTAACCTGGGAATTGCGTTGAGCCGTCGTGGCTGTGCTCGGGGTGTCCCGGGATCAGACGGGTGATGCAGGATCGGTGATTGCCAGCTGGTAGGGAGAGCGTGTTATCCGAAGCAGGGCCATGGGGGAACATTTCCTGCCTCGAAATGTGGGAAGCGGCTGGGGGAAGCAGATCTGGGTTTGAAACCTGAGTTGATTTGTGTAAACATGTGGTTCTGTGGACCTGGCCGTTCTGTTAGCCATCTGGAGATGTAATACTCTCTTATCTTTGCCCAGTTGACTGCTCATGGCTGCTTATGAGGCTGGAAAACTGGATTCTGAAGTTTGAATTTAAGAGATGGGCTGCTGTCCTCTTTGCAAGTGGAAATTGTCCAACTTTCAGCCCTCAATCACCGCTGGGCTGGCGGAGGGGTGTGCAGCGAATCGTTTGGACCGTGTGGTTGGCGGCGGATGGTGCTGACCTTCCCTCCTTCCCCTTTTCTCTCTTTTTAGGTAGGGGACCATAAATTCAGCGCTCACCGGATCGTGCTGGCAGCTTCTATCCCGTACTTCCACGCCATGTTCACCAACGACATGATGGAGTGCAAGCAGGATGAGATTGTCATGCAGGGGATGGATCCCAGGTAACGTTCCCCAGGCACGAGGGTATCCAGAGAGCCTCAGCGCTGCGTTTGCAAGGCTTGAAAGCCTACCCTCTGCGTGAACAGCACTTAGAAAAGGTTTTTTCTTTTAATAGTGTCCCCTGCTAGGTTAATTGTTAATGAATTCTGCTCTTTCTTCCCCTTGTTTAGTGCACTCGAGGCTCTGATCAACTTTGCCTACAATGGTCACCTGGCCATAGATCAGCAGAATGTCCAGTCTCTGCTGATGGGGGCAAGTTTCCTGCAGCTGCAGAACATCAAAGACGCTTGCTGCACTTTCCTCAGAGAGAGGTGAGGAGTCGTCTTTGGGCTGTGCTTACTGCTCCCCAACAGCAGCAAGGTTTTAATCATCTGTGTCTGCCTTGGGAGGGAGCGAGATGTCTCCTGCCGGTGTGCTAAGGAGGTCTGTGTCTCCCGAGACTCGCCGTTCTCGTTGCCTATAAAATAATTTCTCTGGTTTATGAGATGCTGCAGCCGGGACACGGTATAAAGCCTTGGCTAGCCATGGGAATTAATACCTAGAACAAAACTGAGTGACCATTTCCTTTTTTCAAGAGTTAGTTAGCCGTTTACCCGCCAGAGTGGTGCGTGACTGCCTCTGCTGCTAACGAATCCATCGCAGTAATTACCCTTTCTGCTGTTGCGTGTGTCAGAAGGGAGGAACAAAGGGACTCCGTCAAAGAGCCGGACAGGAAGCTGTGGCAGAACCTTAAATTAATCCCAGGTTTTTCAATTCCCTTGCTGGTGTTTGGCTGCAGGATTGTTCCAGCAGCACGATCTGGAAACCGAGAAGCTGGGCTGTTCTTTGGAATCGCACCACACGCGTCTTCAGATCGTGCCAGGGAGTTTTCCGTGTTTAATTCCCCCTCCCTTCTCCGGCTGGATTTCTCTGCAGCTGTTCATTGTATTCCGTGGCGTGATATTAAACATACCTACCAAAGAAATGGAACATCTCAGCCAGTTTATTTTTCTTTGCTTCTAAATAGAGTTATCCTAAAACCATGGACTAGGGAGAAAAAAAGTATTTTTCCTCCGTGTTCAAGATGTCTCATTTTTCAGTGCGCTGTGCATCCTGACTTTCTGCAGTTTGTTTGAAATTAAATTATGTAAGACTACAGAGTATTCATCATTTTTCTTGCAAAAAAAAATTTTGAGGTACTGGATGTGACACCAAACTGGAAAGAGATGGGTTGCGTTGTTTTTTTGGGGGGTTTTTTGAGTCCTTGCTAGCTCTAGGTAGTTGTATCTATATCTAGATTAAGCAAGGTGATTTGGTTTCTCAGATTTAGCTGCTACGGTTCTCCCAAATCTGCCAGGAGCCACTGGGTGTCCTAAGTCAAGTCCTGGATTTGAGCGCGCAGCTGCTGCTTTGATTAATAACAAGAAAATCGGTGGATTTTGACCATCCTGAAGAGCTGGAGCACACACACTGAGCTCATTCTCAAATGGAATTAAGGTTTGGGATGTTTTTAGGCCCCCTGCACACAAACAGGTCCAACCAAGCCCTGTGTGTGCCCCAAGAGCCATTCCTCACGTGGAAGCGCCCCCCCTGAGCACTCCCTGTAGCGTAGGGCAGTAACCGGGGGCACTTTCCCGAAAGCCGACACGAGCGATATCACATCCTCGCACTGTCAACAGCTGAGCCTGGTTTTTTGCAGACCCGTAGACACTGAAACCATCAGGGCCCGAGGTATTTTTCCCCATCTAGGTAGTATTTAGTTTAGTGTCTGTTGATTATTGCCACAAAGCAACACAACTGTGGGCTCTTGTTGCACGGTGACGTGCCTGTACTGGGCAGGGCTTCTTGTTTGGCCAGGAGCGTGTGGGACACATACCTGTTTCTGCAGAGCGCGTGACTGTAATGAATATCATCTTCTCCGCCTTCTTCGTGCCACTGAACGGCTTTACACAGTGGCTGTTTGGCTGTGCTGGAGAGAGGCTCGGATCTGGAGCGGTACTTCTCACTGTCTGACCTCCAACTGCAAAAGCATCTTTGGTGCTAAAGCCTCCTTAATTGCAGGAAATGGCTTGATGAAGCTGTAGCTGATGCTGTTCTGTGGTACTTAAAGGTGTAAGATGAAAAGCAGAGACTGATGGTTGGTATTTGCACGATGTGCTTGAATCCAGCTTTGTCCGATACTGGAGTTAAAAAAAAAAGTGCAGAACCAAGGGGAGGTTTTTAAATTGTGGCTTCGCTTTCAGATCTCTGTGTACATACGTTCAGCAGTGAGCTGGAACCTGCCGTTGTTGCAGAGGACACAGCTGTGGCTTTCACAGCATCACATATCCTCTGAGGCTCGTGTTGCTTCACTAAACCTGTTTATAATTCTTTCTATCCTTCTATAAACTGACATTCCTTTTGCTCTCCTTTCCCAGGCTTCACCCTAAGAACTGTCTGGGAGTGCGGCAGTTTGCAGAGACGATGATGTGTGCGGTGCTCTACGACGCTGCCAACAGCTTCATTCATCAGCACTTCGTGGAGGTATCCATGTCCGAAGAGTTCCTGGCACTGCCTTTTGAAGACGTCCTGGAGCTCGTCTCTAGGGATGAGCTCAACGTGAAGTCTGAAGAGCAGGTGTGTACCTGGCGTGGGGCTCGGCAGAGGCAGTTTTTCCCTTGGAGGGTTTTTGATTGCTTGGGATATGACCCTATTTCTGGTCTGAATGAAGCTGAGAAGATGTCCTGGTGTGGTGGGGACACTGAGAGCTTTTAGACAAAGCTACGATGACTCCCTGAGCCCCGCTTCTCTGTGCTGCCAACGTTACCTTGCTCTGAGAAAGGCCTGCTAGGGTTTCTTTGGACCATAGATTTTGCAAAACGTTGTTTTGAGGTGTTTTGATTCATCGGTGACAGAGGTGGAACCCGATGGGTCCTGAGCACCTTGAGCTGTGCCCCTTACTATTCGCTGGTCCTGGTGAAAAAAGGCTGAGGGTGTGGGCTCCCTCATGGAGCTCGTGTTCCAGTTCTGAGGAGGGCTTTTGAAGTGTAAAGAATAAAACGCTGCTGCAGCACTCACAGCAAATAATGAATGTTCCGATGAATTTGCCATCAAGAGGCTCCTCTAGACCTGCTTGTTCCTAGAAAAAACAGAAAGCAGGTCTGAACAACTTTAAGGTGTTTCAACAGCCTTGACAATCCATCAGTGGTGGGCTGACAGTCTGCAGGAGAAACAGAACCTCATCTTGAGCCAGGAAATCTGTCCTGCTCTTTCTGAGGAGGTTACTAAGGAGGTGACAAATGAAAAGCAGACCTACAGCTATCTCCATGTAGGGTAAGAGAGTCCTTCATTAATCAGGCTCTGAGATGCCCCTGGAATAGGGAGGGAAGGGAACCTGCATCACGTTCCAGCCGCGTTGCTATATCGCACCACCGATCTGTCTCTTGCTGGTTTTTTTCTGAGTGGATCCTTTGCGGAGGGAGTAGGAGTCCAAAGAGTCCGTCCCCGGTGACGTTTCGTGATGCCCCCTTTTCAGAAGTGGCCGTGTGTTAGTGCAGTGCAGCCTTTCTGCTGGTCATAAAGCACCTCGTAGACTGGAAGTAAGTTTTTTAAGCTCACCACGGTCCTGCTGAAGACGTACTTTTACATTGAAAGCCTCAGGAATGGTGATGTGAGAGACTCCAGATCTCCAGCATCAAAGAAGGACTTCAGGATCTTGTTGGCGTCAGTAGTACTGCTGGACTTTTCTCTGCCGCCACAGGAGGGCAGCTGTCCTGCGCGGTGGTGGCCGTGACCACAGCGACCAGTTCTCCTGCAGCTTCTGGGAGACCGCTGTGGGTTTGTGGTCTCCCTGAGCTGAACCTGTGAAGAGAGATGAGGCTGCAGCGTGTGATGTTGGCCTCGGAGCGTGACCTCTGGTCAGCGTGACTGCTGAGGACACTGCCCGGTGGGTGCTCTGCCTTGGGCGACAGTCGTGGGCCTGATTTTTTCACACCACATCAACAAGATTTTGCGTTCTGTCCCACCTCCGCTAACCAAACGCTCTTACCTCGTCTTCCTGCAAACGTTCGTACTAAACATACCGCCGTCCCGTGGGACGATAGATCCATGTTATCACAGACTAAGTTGGAGGCAGAGAAAGCAATGCCAAAGCCCAGCCACCTGAGCATCGCACCACGGAAGAGCCCTCTGTCGTAACGTAGAGCATCACCGGTCTGTCCTGCGACAGCGGCACCCGAGATCAGGGAAGATCTTTGTCAATATGGGGTTTCTTTTCCATCAGATGACTGACAGCAGTAGGAACTTGCAAAAAAAAATAAATAACCACCCCAAACTCCAACTTGTCATGCCTCTCTTCCGTAGGTGTTTGAAGCTGCGTTGGCCTGGATACGGTACGACCGAGACCAGAGAGAGTCGTTCCTACCCGAGCTCCTGTCCAAAATCCGCCTCCCCCTTTGTCGACCTCAGTTTCTCACTGACCGCGTGCAACAAGATGACCTGGTCCGTTGCTGCCACAAATGCAGGTGAGGCTTGGACATGGTGTAAGGAAACCACCCAGGGGACGGTGGCTTTCAGTGGAAGTACCAGGAATATGTTTTAGCGGTCTCAGAGACTGAAATTCTCTCTTTCTGTGGGCAGAGCACCTCACGTAGCAAAAGAAGAAAGCACCCTCCCCAGTTTGAACCTGGCAGCAGGGCAACGTTGCCTTCTAGGAGAGTTGGCCATGGGAGGGGGAAAGTCAGATGCTTAAATCTGCGTCTGACTTAAGACAGTCAGATTTCATCATCAGCCAAACTCTTTTTAATTACTTGGTTTTGATTTCAGGGATCTAGTTGATGAGGCAAAAGATTACCACCTCATGCCTGAGCGCCGGCCACACCTCCCAGCGTTCAAGACCCGTCCTCGGTGTTGTACATCAATTGCGGGATTGATTTATGCTGTTGGAGGACTTAACTCGGCAGGTACCTTGCATATCCGCTCTCCGCAGCGGAGACCGCGGCGTAGTTTGCTGGGTGAGGGCGATGGGATCGTGAACTTCCCCCAGGGGAAGCGTTGAGCATGTTTCTCCTCCTCCATGCAGCACTTTGACCCTTCCACTGAAATCCGCGAGGTGGCTGTGCTGTAGTTTAACAGCTTCCAGCTAGAAACTCTGTCTAGGTCAGGTTTATTTAGGACAGCTATTCTTGTGTATCTTAAAGAATCAGCATTTTGAGGACAGTGTCCTTGCCTATAGCAAGAAGCAGAACTTGGAGGTATCTTTGTGATGCTGTTGGCGTTGTGGGATCGCACGTGTGGACGCAACGTGCTTGCGTGAGCCTAGCAGTAGCGTAAAAAAGGAGGCAGAAAGCGTTTGTGAAACTCTCAGCGGAGCCTCAGCCAACCTGGGTAACCTGGGACGTGGGGTCTGAAGAGCGGGTGCGTGCTGGGTGGGCTTTGCACCGCAGTCGCCCACGGAACAGCTGATTTATCCCACGGAGAAGCTGCCTTCCCAGGACACGGCGACACCCCCGGATGTGCCGCTGCAGGTCTCTGCTGCCCCTCTGAGGTTATAGAAGGTCCCACTGCCACAGCCTGGGACTTGGCAAGTCTTACTGCCCAGGGCAGGGGCGAGCTCTGGAACGCTCCGCAGCCCTCCTGCGTGGCGGAGTGCGGTTTATGTGAATTCTTCAGAGCTGGCTTTTTATGTGGCTGAGTAGAGATGTGGCTGGGAAATGCCTCTGACTTGACTTGGTGAGAGCAGAGATCCCGGAATAGGATGTGCAAGATCCCGGAATAGGATGCGCAAGATCCCGTCCGTTCTCCCAAAGAAGAGCAGGCAAAATTCCCAGTGTCAGACCCATCCTCGGGGTCAGAGCAGCGACCGCTTATCCCTCGCGTGCCTCTGCTACGGGCGAACTTGCTAAAACAGTTTTTTATCGGGTCTCCCTCTTTTAATTTGAGTAGCAAATTTTTATGCAGGTGACTCGCTGAATGTGGTGGAAGTCTTTGATCCCATTGCCAATCGTTGGGAGAAGTGCCAGCCGATGACGACGGCCCGGAGCCGAGTCGGGGTAGCGGTGGTGAACGGATTGCTCTACGCCATCGGCGGCTACGACGGTCAGCTGAGGCTGAGCACCGTGGAGGTTTACAACCCAGAGATGGATTCCTGGTCCAAAGTAGAAAGTATGAACAGCAAGCGAAGGTACGTGTGGCTCATTCCGTGGGAAGGGGACCTTTGGAGCAGGAGGAGAGGGGGGGAAAAATGAAGTTGTAGGAAGGCTGGAGGTGTTGGGAGGTGGTGGAAGGCGAATGAGAATTTCCTGTGTGAGGAAGGAGCAAAAGACAAAGGAGTGGAGCAGTGTGGAGGCGGGTGGGATTTGCCTGGCCGCGTTTGGGGCAGGCAGGTTGGGCTGATTCCGGGCACTGCTTGCTGGTGAGAGGGGAAAACTGTCAGCAGCTCTGCAGAGTTGGGCTGTCACAGCACTGATAGAGGAGGAAAGCTGTTAAGACCTCGGTAAGTAAAAAGCAGCCGAGCAGCATGGGCTCTAAGGTACAGAGGTCTTGGTTTTGGTGGCATCAAGGAGTGAAATCAAACTAAAAGAGAGTGATAAAGTTCTGCTGGTGAGCTCTGTTTGAATCAGAGTCCCAAAGGAGGTGGTCAGAGCCCTGCTTCTTCATATCGTGATAGTAGATGGTGGGCGAAGCACTGCTGAGTGCCGTGCAGGAAACCCCTGTGCTGCTAGGAGTCAAATATTACCCGTTTTACCATCCCTGTCCAGTCCTGGCATCTTCTTCCCATACCAGAAAGCATAAAAGAATCGGAGTTAGGAAGGAGAGGAGTATTTTTATCATCCAGAGAGGAGTTTACAGCTAAGCAGAAGGTGTTTGTGCTTGATGAACGGAGCTGCACGGTTCCTGACAGCCTGGAGGTGGCTTTGTGGTTGGGTTTGGGAGCTTACCCTGCGTCACTTTGAAAACCCACCTATTAAGTTGCATGGTCATCCTGTCCTCCCCACCACAACGTGGTAGCCGCTTCCATGTTTAAACATCTTCCCAGCATCCAGGGTTTCTGCTGCGGTTTTCTTTGCGCTCGTGTCTGGTCGCTGAGAGTTGTTGAATTGTTCAATTTTCTGCAAGCTTTGCAGCACTTCTTTACCATAATGGTTTGTCTGGTTTGGGGTGGTTTTTTTTTGTGGTCCAAGATGTTTATCGCTTGGGAAGAGCACGCTGCGAGCAGCTGAGTACGTGAAATCCTAGGCGCAAGACTCTGATTAGAGGCGGAACAGCTCAGTTTTTCCATAGCGATGAGGTTCCCGGGAGCTTCTCCCCGCAGCGAGAGGCCGTTGCTCTTCCACGATCGGGTTGTTCTGCCGTGAAGTTGAGCAGAACGGCCGTCGGGTGCTCTTGTGCAGAGGAAAACGTCGGGTATTGTACAAACTGCTCGGCTCCGGCTGTAGCGCTGGGGTTCTATCGCTGACGATTGTGTCGCTGAGCTTTTATGACTATGATTTCAAGGTGGGATTCCAGTCTCTTGTCTGAAGCGTCCCGTTTGATCGCCTTTGGGAGCCAAAGACGTGATTTCCAAGGTGTAATGACAGGGTTGGGCGCCTCAGTTTAACGAGCTTTACGTTCGACAGCAATTAATGCATTTCCTGAGGCCGTGCCCCTCAGGAGGGGCCTGGTCATCTCCCACCCGCAGCAGCGGGGAGGTCTTTCACGGGGAGACTGGAATTGCCAGGATTTTGACCCATGATCCAGGTCAAAATGTGTCCGTGTGTTTTAGTTTAGCCCCTTTGCTCAGGAAAACAGGGTGTGCTCGTGCCGCAAGCATCTCTCGTGTCCTGCGAGACCCGACGCTCGGGTGGGATCAAGCGGTTGAGCAGCCTGGGGGTGAAGCCAGGGGAAGAGGAGAGGGTTCAGAGGGGTGAAGGAGGTGACGGCAGGCAGCGGGCGAGGCAGGCTGCGCCGATTT